TCTATACACAGTATTTACCTCAATTACATCAGAAGTAACTGTAATTAAATTACAGATAAATGAAGAGTAATCCCTTACTTTACATTTTCAAGGGAAAAGTAATTAAATTACAGTTACTAATTACTTAGTAATTAGTTACACCCAACACTGCCTCTAACCTATAAGTATATTAATTTATTAAATATATTAATTAATTTTTAGCTATTTTCTTTAAACGTTTTGAATCAATGTTAGAGCAGTGACTATTCATAGAAAGTACATAAATACTGAAATACATTTATATTCAATATCGTCAAAACGCTGAAAAATCCTTCAAACTCCGCCACGCTCTGGTGTTGTCAGGATCGGGGGTTTGCTGATGGTGAGGAGAGAAGCTGCCGGCGCCGAGGTCTCTGTGCCGTACGCCTGGGAAACGCAGATTTCCCTGACAAGAGAGAATCACAGGCGTCTCCGGGGAATAGGGAATTAGCTACGACAGCTCTTACTCCTGTGGAAGAGCTCTGAGGGAAGCATCTGTTTAAAGCGGTGATGAATATGTTGTTTTAATCCTTGCCTCTGGTTTTCCGCAGAAGTTAATTATTCTAATCTTCAGTTCTCGCCTTTCTCTAATGTAGTTTAGCCTCCTGATCCCAGAGAGAGAGAGAGAGAGAGCACTGTGTTTTCTCATTTCACTGCCGTTATGCTGGAAATATACGAAAATGCTGAAGAGGGGGAGATTTTATAGTTGCGCTTAGGCAGATTTTTGACTGTCGGCATAAAGTTTGTTGCTTTCTGCAATACTGTGGCCAGAACTATAGAGATAGACAGGGAGTGACATTTAAAGTGGCCAATCATAAAATTGGACATAAAAGATAATACACTGTTGTATCCTTACTCTCTCTGCACATTTAATAAATTCGTCAACAAATTTGCATGGGCAAAATCTAGTCATGTCGATAGGAAAGCACACGTTTGGGAATTTTGTGCGAGGACAAGATTTGGCTACAGGTTTAACCCTCTGATGGTCCTCGGTCACTTCTTGCGGCCTCTTCTGAACGGAGGCGGGGAAAGCAGCTCGTTTGCATTTAACGTCTTAACCAGCAATGCCACATTGTCTATAATTTTATTAACTTTGTTTTATAACAAATATTCAATCAACTATGCATCATTTGAAACCTAAAACACTCACGAATCATATTTTGAACTTGTAGCAATCGCTACACCAGAGAGGAAATGCTGACAGACTGACCATGTAAATATGATCAAAATGAATGGCAATACTTATCTTTCATCTCCTATGGTTCAGACCCGTTCACACGAATCCAAGAAACACCAGCATATATTTCAATGTAAGGGTCTACTCTTCAAAATGACTCCCACTTTTTTATCTAAAACATGGCAAAAATAAGGGAAAAAATAATGAAATATCCTTTTTTTTTTTTCATGAGCGCTTCCAGTTCAATGAAATATCGATTGTTATCTGTATTCCAATGTTCAAACACACAAGCCATAAATTAATTTTGTAAAAGGGGGTATAAATTTTCACCTTTAAACAAAACTCTTAAGATATTTTCTGGCAAACAAACAAAATAAAAACATGCACCCTGAAAAACATGCATGAAGCCAGCCAATCAGATGTTGAGGGAGTGTCTTGAACTCGGGGAAGTTATTTCTCTGTATTTTGCTTTTCAAAACATTTGAGTGGACAGTCAGCTAATAATGTCATATCTACAGGCTAATAGTACATGTTGACTCTCACCTGTAGAAGCTGAAGGCGGTCCTCAGTCATCAGATCCCCCAGGTGATGAACGGTGACGCAGGAGAGACCCAGAGCAGCGAGACTCCGCCCCCAGCCCCGGCCGAGGAGCCACGCCCCCAGTGCGCTACACAACAGCCGGCCACATCCACTACAGAGACGCCCGTATGTTTCCGTCTATCTCTCACTAATAATCCTTGAAGTAATTCGGTATCATGAACTAACAATGAACGACAGGTTGGAACAAAAAGGTCATATTGATTTTTATGTACATTATATATACTGTATGTATATAAAAGATGATAGTTAAAATATTGAATTCAATGTGAGTCAATGTGAATTAACATTGAGGAATAGTTGGGATGCCGATATATCGGCCACCACATCGGTATCGGACGATATTTGTTCATCTTTGATGTTATCGGCCCGATAAGAAAATTTGGCCGATATATTATATTAAAGCTGATAAATAATGGATTATTTCCTAAGCTGAGACACTTCAGTTGCGCATTGTTTGCCATGATGCTTTTAAATTATTATTTGAAATAGGATTAAAATCACTTCAAACAGGAAAATACAGTTCAGTGCAACATGTGCAGCGCAAGTCTTTCATATTGGCTACAACATTAACATTATAATAGTGTGCTTGGGACATGGCTTTTACTGGTGGGACTTTTGTTTTTGTTAATAGGCTTTCAAAGTGATATAAAAATTTGGATTTAGATTTATCGGCCGATATATCGGTAATCGGCTTTCAAATATAAAGAATTATCGGTTATCGTATCGGCCAAAATGTTCATATCGGTGCGTCCCTAAGGACTAGTACACTACTTTTCAAAAGGTTTTTGGTGTTTTTGAAAAAAAAAATATATATATATATATATGCTCACCATGGCTGCATTTATTTAATCGAAAATGCAGTTATAATAGTAATATTATGAAATATTTATAATTTATTACTCCAGTCTTCACCGTCGCATGATCCTTCAGAAATCATTCTAATATGCTGATTTGATGCTCAAAAAACATTTTTTTATTGGCAATGTTGAAAACTTTTTTTTGTGAAAACTGATACTTTCAGAATTACGACGTAAACGGATTTGCTGTCAATTTTGACCAATTTAATGCATCCTTGCTGAACAAAAGTATTATTTTCTTATAACAACATCTTAATGACTCCAAACCATTGAACAGTAGTACATATTTATGAATAAACATTAACTTTTAACTCATTAATGAATAAATTGTTGTTCATTTTTAGTTAAATGTTACCTAAACTTTAAACTAAACTAAAATTAAACATATTATTATTAATTACAATTAACGATTTGTACCTTATTGTAAAGTGTAACTAATAACTGCTTTGTCAAACAGCTATACTATTTTAAAAAGTGTTATTAATAATTTGCAAACATCTAATCAAATGCAATGTACATTTTCATAGTCTCTAATAAATATGGTAGCACGTTATTTTACAGTCCTGTTTCCCATGTACATAATATGTACTACTTCATAATAACTATGTACTAAATCTGAACCTAGCCCTAACCTTACCTGAAAGGGATAGTTCACTTTGAAATACATTTTTGGTATGTTTTCGTTTACCTCAAGGGCATCCAAGATGTCTTTGTTTCCGCAGTAGTTTCAATTTTGATATTTTTAGGTCAAACCGTTCGTGTCTGTCAGTCATATAATGGAGGTCTATGGTCACCACCTCAAAGAGCATGCACAGAGAAGTCCAAATTAAACATGATTTAATGACTCGTAAATGTAAGTACACACTGATGGCCTAAGACACAAAACGAGCGGTTTGTGTGAGAAAATGAACAGTATTTATATAGTTTTTACCTCTTGTAACCACAGTCACGTTCAAGTTATCTGAGGGTGCGGGCGCTTTGTTACAAGAGGTAAAAACGATATAAATACTGTTCGTTTTCTCACACAAACTGCTCGTTTCGTGTCTTAGGCCATCAGTGTGTACTTACATTTACGAGTGGTGACCATAGACCTGCATAGACCACCACCATGAGGTGGTGACCATAGACCTCCATTATATGACTGACCGACACGAACGGTTTGACCTAAAAATATCAATATTGAAACTACTGTGGAAACAAAGACACCTACATCTTGGATGACCTTGAGGTAAGATAAAACATACCAAAAATTAATTTCAAAGTGAACTATCCCTTTAACCCCTGTAGTTACCTCACATCACCAGTACTTTCTTAGGTAAGTATACGTACGGTAACCATAGATATTAATGCATGTTTCATTTTTCCGTTCACCTTCGTCAGGTGCAGGTTTTGATTGAACATATGTACCCTCGACCACAAAACATGGGTCAATTTTTTTTGAAAATGAGATTTATACATCATCTAAAAGCTGAATAAATAAGCTTTCCATCGACAATATTTGAATCGGCGATTCATTTATTATTATATATTCACTCACAAAAAGAAATGTTTTATATATGTACGCTGCTAAATATCTTTGGAACGTGATCTTTACTTAACACCCTAATGATTTTTGGCATAAAAGAAAAATCGATAATTTTGACATACAATATATTGTTGGTCTTTGCCACTTTTGTGATCCAGGGTCACATCTATGATTCAAAATCAGTCCTAATTAATCTGTGTTTGTACGTTTGATTGCCGGCCCGTTTAGGTGTCTCCCGCCCCCCCAGCCCAACACACAACCAGTACCGGTGGGCGGCGGCGGAGGACCACCAGCGAAGACCCCGACGAGAAAAGACGCAAGTTTCTGGAAAGGAACAGAGCCGCCGCTTCCCGCTGCAGGCAAAAGAGGAAAGTCTGGGTGCAGAGTCTGGAGAAAAAAGCCGAAGACTTGAACAGCGTGAACGGACAGCTACAGGTACACACACTCTGTGTGCGTTTGAGAGCCAGACAAAGATGGTGATGAAGTCATTAATGTAAATTAAGAAGTGTGTTTGCATGACAGGCACGGCGTGATTGTTCGAGTCTCCTGCATCGATATGGCCCTGTCAATAAAGACGTTTCCTCCAGATGTCATCGGCACACAAGCGTGTCGTCTGTTCTGTCGGAGCGTTTGCGAGCTGCCCTGCAACTCTCTCTGGGAAAGCCGTCTCTTTCTCAACCCCCGTTTTGTAGCAGGCAATTAGGATCCGCCACTGACAAGTTCGAAACAGTTCACGTAACCGTTGTCTCTGCTGATAGCGGAGAATGTGGCTCGGCGTCGGCACGTTCCAGACAATTTAATGAGATGTGTCACTGTTTATTTGCGCGCTGTCTCTTTTATTTGTCCGTTTAAACAAAGCGCAAACGGAGGGGTGGGGGGGAAGGGCGATTCATTTGTGGGTTATGTGAACGAATAAACTAACACGAAACAGATGGAGAGCTGAAGAAGGTGTAACAGAATGTGTGGGACTGTGACAGTACGTTTCGTCGGAGAGAAGGCGTTTAATACGAGCGCATTTATCAGCGCTGATGGGCTGGTGTAATTGTCCCGTTGGCCCAGCTGATCGGGGCGTAGAGCTCTAATGATGCTCGATTACGTTAACATCATCCTTAACTGGCTTTTTAACGAGGTGTCAGGGTTTTAGACCAGCACTCGAGCCAAACATCCCCCCTGTGCTGCCTTTATGGATGCAGCCGGTGTGCGGAAGCATTAAACACTTTAATGGCCTGAACGGGCCTGATCTTACTGGAAACGGCAGAAGGGACCATTGAGATTCATTCGGACCATTTTAGACGTTTCGTTTGATGATTTTGGTTTAAAAGCAGAGCGGGAGGACCGTACCTGGGGCCATATGTCACTTTAGATGTTCGTGTCATTGAAAGTTCATCTGGTAGCTAAATATTAACAGTAACGACTTGCAAAACATGTTAAATCGATGCTTTCTTTGTTTATTTGACAGCTAGAGATCAAGATATTGGCCGATTACAGGTTCATTCATTGACCAGTGTTTGGGAATTCATTGACCACAGTGTTTGACTCTATGGGAATTTAACATAGGGGTGTCCTTTAAGGAAGAATTTTAAGGACATTATTCATTCACAAAGAAAATTTGTGTCCTTAAAAGGTTTGATTTTTCCTAATATTTTTAATTAAGGCATTAAGATCAATATCAATATCCAAAAGATGATTTTTTTAGCCTCTTTTTAGGCAACTTTAGCATGGGTGTCCAAACTTATTCACATCACTGTATTTCAGACTTTCAATTTAGGCCTCTTATGCTCACCAAGGCTGCATTTATTTACTCAAAAATACAGTAAAATCACAAAAATTATAATATATTATTTACATTTAAAATAACTCTTTTCTATGTGAATTTATGTTAAAGTGTAATTTATTCATGTGATCAAAGCTGATCATTACACCAGTCTTTAGAGTCACATGATCCTTCTGAAATAACTCTAATATGCTCAAGAAATAATCATAATCAGTGTTAAAAACAGTCTGCAGGTCATGAATTACATTTTTTTAAATAGAAAACGTTTGTAATATTATAAATGTCTTCACTGTCAAGTATCAATTTCCTTTTTTTTTAACACAATTTTTTATGTTTAGACAATCAGGGTTGTGATTTCCCTGCTTATACATCTACTCACCAAATAAATAAATCTACGCAAAACATTTCTTACACTTTTACATTAACCCTAAAACCGTATTCTGGACAAATGTGGGCAAAATAGTTTTGATTTATTTTTAAAAAATACTTCCCTTGATCTGAGCGGTACAAGACTTGGCTACTTTTCCTAAGTTTGCCTCCTGAACACACACAATTTTTTTTTTTTGACTCAATTCTACAATGTTAAGTGGGTGAAAAAAACTCCTTAATCTTGTATTTGGGTCAAAAATGGGCACCCATAGAAATGAATGGGAAAAACTGTAATTTAGAGTACTCTAAAATAAGCCAAAATAAGACATCAGGTGACAGCAAAGTCACTTCATCTTTAGGTTTTAGCTCTAAGAACTTATTGGAATGATATTTTAATGTAGTTAAAAAAAAAATTAAATACTAAAACATAAAAATAAGCATAATTTACATAGAAAATATAGCAGTTTTTGAAGTAAATTAATCCAAAAATACCCCAAATACAATGTTAAGTGGGTGAAAAAAAAAACAAAAAAAACTCCTTAATCTTGTATTTGGGTCAAAAATGGGCACCCATAGAAATGAATGGGAAAAACTGTAATTTAGAGTACTCTAAAATAAGCCAAAATAAGACACCAGGTGACAGCAAAGTCACTTCACCTCTTTAGGTTTTAGGTCTAAGGAATTATTGAAATTATATTTTAATGTAGTTAAAAAATAAATAAAAAATAAAACATAAAAAAAGCATAATTTACATAGAAAATATGGTAATTTTTGAAGTAAATAAATTTAAAAATACCCCCCAAAATAAAAAAAAACAACATAAATGAATAGACAAATCTTTATCGAAGACAGTGATATAACATTTATAATAAATAAAAATTAGAATCACACCTGAGTCCTCTGTGCCCACATTTGTCCACAATTACAGGATTAAGCTAAAACATTAAAAACACATTTACAGATTGACATGAAATTAGCACAGCTATGAAGGAAATAATTTGCCTGAAACAACCTTAAATGTAAGCCACAGCGTCGTTATAATATATCAATCCAGACCGCTAGGCAGTTTACTACTTATTACGGTTAATAACTATTCGCCGTCTCTCGGCCATTGGCCACGCCGTCTGTAAACATCAAGATGGCAATTGAACACCCATCCATGTGCCCGTCTTATTTTAGGGTCAGCGTTGAGAACGGTGTTGCGTTTGTAAGTAATAATAATAGCTTGCTTTGCTCCAGTGGATGCCATACTAAATGGCTGGATGTTGTAGTCTTTTGTGCATTTTGATGTGATGTGGGAAAATGCGAGGCGAGAGGGAGAGAGAGGCCTACTTTGTGGTCGTAATGGAAGATGTCAGTCGGTAGTGAACATTAGCACAGTGTTGGAGCAGCTGTGTTTAAATCTGCTTCTCCTCTGCACACCACACCAGCACTGCCAAGATGAAACAGATGGAGTGAAATAAACTGGCACGCTTTTAGACCGCTGCATTAAATGCCGAGGAACAGAGAAAGTGTTCAAATCTGCGCTCTTGTGCCCTTCTTTCGCACCCGTTCGGCTCGCTGTAAATCCTGCTTAAAGTCACCTTGGCTGTTAAACAGCCTGTGTTTAGCGCACGCCGAACAGCACAGCCCCATGGGAGTCGTAACGGCAGACGAGAGTAAATCTCACCAGTGTTTCGCTGACGGAGGGAGGGGAGCGCTCTCTCTGTGCTTCTCTCTCCTGGGACTCTGCCATTAAGCAGCTATAATTGTGTCCCAAAAAAGCTTAAAGGAAGACGAGCTAATGATCTTTCTCTGTTGATTCCTCGCTGTAATCTGCTCATCTTGATAGGTCACATGCTTGTTTCTCTGTGTCCAGAATGAGGTGACTCTTCTGCGTAGTGAGGTGGCCCAGCTGAAACAGCTCTTACTGGCTCATAAGGACTGTCCCGTGACACTCCTGCAGAAGAAATCAGGAAACCACCGTGAGTACCTCATCACCAACCACAGCAGACTGCCAGTTTTTCTTCGTCATCAGACTCACTAACACATTGATGGCGTGTTTCTGTGCTCTTAAACCTGAACTGCAAAAAAAATGCTTTTCTTACTTACTATTTTTGTCTTGTTTCCAGTCCAAATATTAAAAGAATCTTAAATCAAGACGTGTTTACTTGAGTAATACAGTGCCATAAGATATTAAGTCTTGTTTTCTGGGGAAATAAATACAAATTAAGTGAGTTTTGGCTTAAAAAAATGGAGTAAGAAAAATAATCTTGTCTCTGTTTGAATTAATATTATTTTTCTGACCCATTGGCAGATCATTTTAATCATTAATTGGCAGATAATTTTGCTTGTTTTAAGCAACAAATCACTTAATTTTTAATCACTTAAATAAATAAAAAACGAGACATTATATTAATTATATCTTATGGCGTTTTACTCATTTTTAGATTTTTTTAAAATATATTTTTAGACTTTTTTTAACCTTCTAAAAAATCTTTCAAAAATGTAATTTTCCATACTGCATGTGTTTTAGTATCACATTTGAGTTACGTTAGGCTATTATGGCTCAATTAAGCGTGGCATAGTAAAAAAAAAAAACACACGTTGGTTTTATTCATAGGCCCAAACTGAGCACAATATGCAATTTGGTGCAGTTCTTGATATTTATATTGCTAAAATTTATATAAAATTCTGATTGCTGGAAGATCTTTCCAAATATTTCCAAATTATTTTTGTTTAGTATCATATTCGGTACATCTGAATTTTTTGGCTTATGTAGACTATGCTATATTGAGAATATGGAGGACAAACTTTAGTTTTATTCAGGCCCAAACTATTTACTAGTTTTATATTTTTATTAGGCACAAACTGAGCAAAATATGCAATTTGGTGCAGTTTTAGATATTTATATCACCAAAAAAAACCCAACTAATATGCAATTCTGATCGCTTATGTAAATCAATAATATTAAATAAAGCTCTGTAGTTTTAAAACATAATGCAATGCAATACAATGATGATTGAGAGATAACAAATACATCGTCCTTAAAAGCCTGATGGATTTAAAGGAGTAATTCACTTTAAAAAAAAAACTTGCTGATAATTTACTCACCCTAGGATTTGTTGCCTGACTCACAGGCGTTATTTTCATCCAGACATCAGTAGCTATATTAATATCAGTGATAGCCTACTGCCCTTCATTCATAAACAGATGCCATTAAACAATTATTTTAAATATACTGTCTTTATGTTGTTTCTACATAACAGTGGAAATTGAGGCTCACATTATTTACATTTTTTACACACAAAACAGTTATGATTTTATAAAATGATTCTCTTAAGTCTCTGTGATCGGCCCCTATTAAACAATAAAGAAAGACATATTTTTCTTGTACAAATAGCCTACTATTCTTTTTGCCAGAAATGATCATTATAATCAAATTATTTCCTGGTTTTTGTATCACCATAGTCCCTGAATGTATGTACATCCAGGAAATGGGATTCAAATCGAAAACACCCCCCCCATTTTGTGATCGATATATCGGCCGATATTTAGCATTTTTTTATTTTTCTGATTGGCCGATGTGTTGGAAGCGGGACTTTTATTTTGACGGGCAAGTGACGAAGTGAGTGAATCCGAACAGAAGATCAGCTTCAGAGGAGACGCGATCGAAAAACCACTTTTTAAAATATGCTGTGCTTTATCCAGTGTCCCACTGTGTCAGATTCATATGGGGTTTCACTGTGATGTATGTACAATTAGCGTTACCTCGTCTTTATTTGAAAAGATATGATTACCAGAGCGCATGAAATTACCAGATTACTGAGTGCCCTGTTACAGTATTTACTTCCTTTTTATTAGCATATTCATATATTTTTAAGCAATTACTTTATTTGTGAAAAATACTGTAATAGGATTGCAGATTCAAGAAGTTGCCATATAAAGTACAAGCATGTTTATTTTAAAGATTTGTTTTCTAATTTATTCATAATTTATTAAATATTGATTAAAATGAAGATAAAGTGTATATATATATATAAATATCGGCTTTATATCGGCCGCTCTGCTCTCTAAGATATCGCCCATCAAAAAAACAATATCACTCGTCCCCAAGTGCACATTGTTTGGGTTGGGAAACACAGTCAAGGTCACAAAGTCAAGAGATTTCATTCACAAAGCCGTAATTCCAGTTGTTAGATTTTGCTCTGGATTCAGCAACACATCTAATCTCACTGAAAGCCTTTTCTTTCTTTGAAAATTAGTAAAATCTCTGGACTGCCAGCTCTGCTTAATGGACTTGTTCTTTCTTTATCGTTTTACTATTTCTTTATTTTTTTGACGGTAACCAGTGATGCGCGGGTTGATCCGAAATGAGCGGGTGCCTGCGGTCACCCGCGGTTACCCGCAGTTACGGGTCATCCAAAAATGTGATATTCGGGTCGCGGTCGGTCGGGTCGTTTGAAAAAAGATGCCAATTAAACATTTGTATTAATATAGTAGCCTACTAGACACAATTTTTGATGAAATATACAGCCCTACACATTATTGGCTAAATACTGGCACGAAGATAACACACAAGCTCAGTCTAAACAGTTCTCGGTTCTGGTGATTCGAGAACCGCTGTCCCTGTGCGTTCGGTAGTAGCCTACGCAGTATCTATGCGCAGTATCAGCTGCTCGTGCTCATCACTTCTCTCAACAGTGGCACCAACATGTCTCGGTTCAGTGAACTTTTCGAGTTACTGGAGTAGGGAAATTCAGGATATTGATTTATTTCGATTCGGATGGACTGTCAGGCATGTCCGAAAGTGAGTAACTTTAGTAACTTCGCGTCTTAGCGCTGACGCAAGACGCGAACTGTTTCGAACGATTCAGTTCGATTTAGTGTACTGGTTCGACCGGTTCACTAAAAAGAACCGGTTCAAAAGAACGATTCGTTCACGAACCGGGCCGGTGTTCTGACATTCCATCCTACCCGTCAGATTGTCCTACCAAGGCTTACTGCGCATGCGCACATCAATAATACGTCATTTTTTGTCACGCTGAACAACACGCCCATAATATTTTACTACTTGCGCGAGATCTTCTTCATCTGAGGTAAGTTTTTCACTATTTTTGTCAATTATTACTATACAAAGATATATAGCAGTAATGAGAACTGTTTACTCTCACATTCATACAAAGCAAATTCATATTAGCATTTTTTTCATGAAAACATTAACGTAAAATCATTCTACTCGTTTATTTCATACTGGTAGGACAATCTGATGAGGCATTTTGCACTGTAAAATCATACTACTCGTTTATTTCATACTGGTAGCACAATCTGATGAGGTATTTTGCAACGTAAAATCATCCTATCGTTTATTTCATAGGACAATCTGAAGAGGTAACGTTACTTTGCACTGTAAAATCACCGTAACATGGCCTAATAAGAAAATTCGGCAAAGTTACACAGAAATATTTTATGTAACTTAGTCACAGACGCGAAGCAGAAACGCTCAGTAGGATTTTACGACGAGGTAGGATGAACCGATAGATATGGCTATAATTTTGCGCTACGGTAGGAAAATCTGACAAGGTAGGACAGATCGACAGAACACCGGCCATGTCTATGATCACAGTCTGCAGAGAGATGGAGGCGGCAAGAGAAAAGGTGAAGACTGGGGAGTGGAAGCTCCGCAAATACACAAATAGAAAGAGTAAAAGTGTGGGAGACATTTGCTGAAATAATGAAAGATGATGACTGGCTTTGCCTTTGTTATGTGTAGGCCTACGTCTTCTTGCGATGCTGTGTTGTTACACGTCTATGGCCCAATAACGCTCCGATGAGCATTTGCTATTTTTAAAAAATGCGGTCAGGAAGCGGGTCGGGTACAATATTTTTTTTACTTTTTTTTGCGGTCCGAGTTGCGGGCGGGTAACGTTAGTTGAAAACGTCGGTCGGTTGCGGGTTGTTTATACATTGACCCGCGCATCACTGACGGTAACAGATGAGTGTTATTCCTAATGAGTGTTCTTTGTTTGTTTTGATGAAATGTAGAGTGGAAAATGAACTAGCCCTGAGTGTGAAATAACACAGATTCATCTCGTCGCATTATTACCACAGAACGCAGAGGACTCGTATATAAAAAAAATGATCTCTCCACTATATGTAGCGCAGTCCTCTTTAAGATGAGTGATAAAGAGGCATTCAGAAACCGAGGGCTGCTTTTGTTACACACGCGCCTTTGGCCGTTATGCTTTAATGATACCTTGTGAAATGTGCAGATCTGCGGCTCGTCTGCCATATGCAGCCACTTCATATCAATTAGCTGTTGTCAGAGGGACTGAGAAGCGGATGTGGGAGTGAATGAGTGTACGCTTTTGCAGACACTGAAGCTTAACGCCCTGCTAGTGTGGAAGCACTTTGGGTCACACTTTAGTTTACAGTGTCATTGTTGCACGTTACATGTAGTTACTGTAGTAATAACTGTTTACATTAACATTTTTATACATTTAGCTGACGCTTTTATCCAAAGCGACTTACAATTGCTATATATGTCAGAGGTCACACACTTCTGGAGCAACTAAATGTCTTGCTCAGGGACACATTGGTGTCTTGCAGTGAATTCGAACCCGGGTCTCTCACACCAAAGGCATGTGTCTTATCCACTGGGCCATCACCACCCCAATAAATTACTGTAGTAATAACTATAAATTATGCTTACTTGCATGCAATTAAGCCTAAAGCAAACACTCATCCTAATAGTAAGTACATGTAATATTATTGCTCATTGCGCAACGTTTCATGTTAAAAATAGCTTTTTTTCTAACCCATAAGTGCTTAAACACTTGCATGATGGGCTGAATGAGCCCTTCGATCACTGTGATTGCCTCTATAATCCTGTACAGTAAAATAAATAAGAGGGATTCGGGACGGATTTGAGACTGAGTGTGACGTCATGCGCGTTCACTGGCAGGTTTGTGTGTTCGCCGCCATT